TATGTCGTACCAGACACAATGATGACGGTAACCAGTTGAAGAGCATGTTCTTAGATTTCCTTGAAGGGTACCATTTGAAGAGCATGTTCAAATATGGGAAGCCATGCTCTTCAACGGTAACCAGTTGAAGAGCATAAGGTAACATAAGGTAACATAAGGTACCCTTCAAGGTACCTTCAAGAGCATAAGGTACCTTGAAGGGTACCTTATGCTGGTACGACATAGACCAGACACATTGTGTCTGGTACGACATAGACCAGCATGGCTTCCTCTATGTTACCTTATGCTGGTCTATGTCGTACCGATGGTAGACCATTGTCGCTTTTATTTGTTTATACATATGTTTAATAGCATGTTTTACCTTGTTTTCATATTTTTTTGCTTGAAAATTATGAATATGAACAGTTTATAAGGTAACATAGTGATCGCTCACCAAAATGGGTAAAACTATCCCAAATGACCTAGTTTTCATGTGTCATGACCTGTTCACTTTAGATTGTGGTGCGAAGAAAAACATTAATCATCTCAACATCCTAAAACCCCCTTGGTGGCCCTTAGCTAGATGGGAATTTAGGATAGTGTTTGGCATTAATTGGATTTATAAATTTACACGTTAAGCCTACAAAAACTTGCAAATACACTCGACACTCGATGAGCAATTGTTTGTGAAGTTACAACGGTTCGTTTATCTTATAAAGTTATTGTTTTAGATGAGCAATCCTTCATCACTTTTCTCTCTTATGCACCAAATGCCTTAATTACTTGTAAAACTATCCTCTTCGCGAGATACTACCCTCTTTGCGAGACATTGAGACTTATCCATCGTTCATTTTTAAACAAATCAATTTACTCTTTTATAAATCTTTTGAGACCTTACTAAAGACCTAAGCAAGGTAACAACTATACTAACCCTTTACGAATGGATAATACAATAGTGCCTCATGACGTAAGCACTACCAAATAATCTATGACATTTTAGTTGAAATATCATAGATCTAAGGGGTGTGCTATCTCCTCTCAAGATTAGATCTAAGGGTGTGCTATCTCCTCTCAAGATTAAAACACTATCCTGCTCAAAGTGGGATGTGTAGTGATCGAGGTATCACCATCTAACTAACTCCTCACTGTCATACCGACAGTATTTTATTTTCTATCTCCTTATGAGCAAAGACCATTGGATGAAAAGTGTTCAGGATGTGAATTCTCTTTTGGCCCTCACACGATCCCCACGTGAAGGTCTTTCACCTTGAGATCAATCATTTGGAAATGGACGGAAGGAGAATTCGTTTCTTCCCTTCCAACTTTTTCCCAATCTCAGAATGTATTAATTATCTTTTTGCAAAAGCTTCAAGTATATGATTTGTGATTTTTGTTTGGCAACCGATCAAAAAAAAAGAGAGATAGAGAGAGATAAATATTGCCGATGACTGCATTAATGAGAATGGATGTAGATTTTGACACCATCCTACCCTCTTCTATGAACATCCTAAGTGTAATTTAATAAGGGACTCATTTTTTTCTTCCTACCGAATTGCTAGAAACAATGTTGTAAACTTCATTAATAATTTGTAATTGATAAAACTAAGATCAAACTCCTTGACTAATTGACTAAAAGAGCTAACGGAATCCAAAGATAGGCAGGTGTATTACCCCTAAGACACGCCGCATGGGGTAGCTGACAAACACCAACACATAAGCATATCAGTAATCACATACAATGTCATTTAAACTACAAAGGTCGAAACATACTCAGACGAATCCGAATACTCATCAAAAGTCTCCAGGGCTGGGAGATAGAACCTTTGGGTTATTGACTCCGCCCTAATGCCTTGGGTGAAACGGAGATTGCATGTAGGATTCAAATGAATCACTCATTTCCTGGTTTGATTTCTCGTGTCTCATGTCCTTAACACATTGATCCATCTAAAAAGGTTATTCTTATATCATCACCAATTTATTTTACATCTGGTCAACATATTCTAAACAAAATAAAATAAGATTGTAAAAAAGGTAATGCTCAAACAGGAAAAATACAAAAATACTACTTCGATCTAAACCAATAGCAAGTTTTGTAAGTTCAAATCTATCAGCACCCATAAGTCATACCATAGATTATGCGCATGAGATATCAAATATTGAAGGATTTCATGTTTTCTTACCATGGTTACCTCATCTGATAGCGTGCTTCCAAGGGGAGAAAGGCAACCTCTAGTGTCAACTAAGAACAACTTCTGTAAACTCAGATGGTACACCACCCTGTGAAGTTGAACATGATATATAAAATAAATTGATATAAACTAGTGATAAACACTCAATCATGCTACGGTGCCACGTTACATTTTGTTCTGGACAGAGAAATTGAATTCTGCAAAGTAACAACAAGTAGGAAAAGCTCGAAGCATGCAAATAAAATTGCTGCCAGAGTACACCCCTGTAGTGATCACTTGCAATGAGAAGTATTACCAATACCTGCATAAGATGCCAAGCACATCATTATTTATAAGAAAAACATCATTAAATTTTGAAGCCACATTTCATAATGCAAACTAATCAAGAGCCTTGACTTTAAACAGCAGCTGTTTTTGTGAAAACTGTAACTTGTTTCTACTTTCTGAGTTAAGGAATTTAAAGAAAGTCATTACTATTGACTAATAGTTATTTATATGTTTGGTAAGCTACTTTAATGCATCATCTTCCTGTATTGCAACACAACACGAGATAATCCTATTGGAAACCCGACAGCCTTGATAAATTCAACTTTGGAGCTGAATAAGCTGAAATTACTGGTAAATGTGCCATTTGAGAGTAATCTGAATTAAACATTTACAATAAATTTTCACATCAGCCAACTAAGATTTATCAAGAACCTTGTCTCAATCTCCATCCAGGGTTATTTTGGACATCACATATTCGAGGTGGAAAAACATGCATTGCTCAAGATGGATGTGACGAACTTAGAATTGTTAGCTATGGTTTTTCAGGCCAAAGGAGACTGAAATTTCATACTTATAATGCATAAGGATAGAGTTTATGATATTTAATGCAGCTTGTACATAATTATGTCTTCATAGAAGAAAGAACTTACTAAGTTCATCATGAACCATTTCTTGACTTTCGTTAACAAGATTGCCTCCTAATCATCATCTGTCCCAAAATACCTATCTCCAAACTCTCCCATTCCAGGAACAACACGGAAGTCTTCGTTTAAACCGAATTCTATCTCAGATGTTACAATCTTGATTCTTGGGAATCTTTTGCAAACAACATGCACTCCTTGAGGAGCCTATGACATCAGGGAAATCAAATAAGCATGTTGTAATCGTGTAACTAATAGTTAGAAGAATCTGAGAAAGGAAAAGATCTTTTGGTTAGTGTCAAAGCTTCAGTCTTAGAGAAGACACTTTGACAGTCTTAGAGAAGACAAGGAAACAAATTCTGCATCCGCACATGAAATCAGCAATAAACAGAAATTACACAAGTGATTCATGCATGGAATTAACTGGACTTACAGAAATGAGATTGAGAAATATTATATTGCTTTCTTGAACTCCATTTTGTAAGAGCAAAGAGATAGCTTGAACAGCTGAGTTCCCTGGAATAGCATAGAAGTGTCAGCACAAAATATGCAGAAGCAATATAGTCAAACAACTTGATTGCCTTATATCACTGCATATGTAAGTCAATAAACAAAAAAAGACTTTTCAAGGAAGTTACAGAGAAACTTTGAGCAAAGAGTATGATTTTGTGGCATGGGAACGTTTGCCGATACCTTTCTTGCAAGATATGATTCTATTCCATGCCAGCCAGAGTGCCTCTATACCAGTTAGCACAGGGGAAAATTTGAACTAGCCATATGCTGGCATCTTCACTACAGATTGGTATTGCGTGTGCCAATGCTTTCTGGCATGATACATTTAGATCTATGCTGGTCTATGCTAATCAGTATGACAATTTATTGATTTTGAGCTGTCAACAACAAGGTTTTCAATTTCACCCAATCTGGTACTGTTCGGTCAGTCTTTACTGGTCCGACCGCTGACCAAAATGCAGATTGCTTAAAAGTTAAAACCAAGTGCTCCGATGCAATTTGTTATTCAGCTCTTTTGTTTTCTTTTAGATGTCACATTGCCTAAACTATGGCACGGGTTGTGACTCCTCGTTCCCTCTTAGCCCTGCATGTGCCTGTACACATCGCCTTGTTGAAAGATAATGATGGTTCTAATGATGACATTATTTTTATCATAATCCCAAACTAATAATTTTGCATACTGCAGATTTCTTAGAATTATGCAGAGCATAAGAAAGAAGACTCATGCAAACCAGTTCACCTTTTGGGAGGAAATTATTTTATCACATTTCCAAATGAATAATTTTGTCTTGTTGAAAAAGGAAACAGTAGAAGAAAGTCTTTTACGTGCAACTCCAATGGTGTGTACTACAGATTTCTTAGGATTTTGAACAGTATAACTGGAGAGACACATGCAAGCTATTGACCTTTCGGGAGAAAATTAAATGGAGCTTGTCTGCAAGCTGTTGTGGTGGTAAATGCTATTTCTAAAAGGGCACTTGCAAACACAATGAGATCCAAAAGCTCAAAAATGTCTACAATTCTAGGAATAAAGAATCACTTTGGAGAGTCCAAGGAATCAACAGCAAGAGAATCCATTGATCCAACCTGGTATATATCGGTGACATCTGCAGGGATGTTTTGACAACAATCAAGATATTTCATCCGTATCAAAAGAACCATCCAACTCAGGTTCAGAAAATCATTTGTAAATAACCACGAGAAAGAGGGAAGTAACATGTCAATTATTATAGGTGTATCTTATCTCAGTATGAATAGTTTTCTACTGCAACCTAGACATCATGGATTAAACTATTAAAATAGCTGTTGTTTCTTCCTTATAATATTAACATCAGTCATCTACTTTATGCTAATGATGCCATTCTTCCTGCAAAAGAATGTCTGGTGTTTGGAAAAAAGACATTAACTTCTCCAAGTCTGTCCTATTTCTACCTCACTCTGATCCTAGAAAAAGGCAAAAGAGAAGAAGATTTTAAAGGGGGACTGGATGAGAAAGAAAAGGTTTCTAGAAGCAACATTTTGGTACCAAACCCAGGAGTTCATTTTCCCATCTGGGATATCATCATATTTAGTCAGGGATAGGGTGAATGACTGCCCAACTGGTTGGAAAAAGTGACTTCTTGAACCAAGCTAAGCATACCATTTCATTTAATTCAGTGAAGCAAGCTACTCCAATATTTCATCTTGTTTAATGCCAAACTCAAATTCTTGTGATTGATCATGTAATTTAGCTATCCCATAGCTTCTAATGGGAAAAGGCTATCAAATGAGACTTACACTCAGTCAGTTGTTGATACTATACTAGGCCTTTAGAGAACAGTGATCAGAATGTGTGCAACCTCATGATTGCAAAGACTAGTCTAACAGCTAAGTTACACAGGACAACCTAAAGAATGATATGGTTTTAAGGATTGTGCATAAAATTAGTGAAAAGAGAAAAAAGATTCTCAACCAGGAAATTGAGGCTTTTTTGGATAAAAATTGGATTCCAAACTTCTGTTTCTCAATTGAAGAACAAAAGCTGAACTACCATGAACATCACGGTACCATTGATTGCAATTATTGTATTAGGCAATTTGTACATTTTCAAATGAGACATATTCCATAAAGCCAATAAAGCTACAGACTGGATTACCAAGTTCCAAAAACTTTTGCTATACATGTTACGAGGGAACATTTTGTTCTACAAAACCCATGGGATAGTCTTACTACAACATCTGTTACAACCATGGGTCAACTGGTAGTGAAAGATGAAAGGACCAAGAAGCAAAAAGTGACAACAAGATGGAGTGAACATAAAATGAGTCTGAGAGAAATTCTTCATTCATAGCTATTGTGGAAAAAGATATCTATATATCAAATGTGCATTCCAACCATGAAAAAATATCACAAAAATCAAGACATCTTTTAGAAATTCTCACAACCAAACAAACCATGATAAATTAAAAAACCCCAGTTAAACCCATTTAAGTAAATCGAGCTAAGAGGAATTTGACAATCAATGCATTAGGCACTGCATGAAGTTTGTTCCATTTTTATATGGAACAAATTAACATTTTTATATTAGATGAACCAACCTGTGCCTAGTATGGGATCCAAAAGCAGCACATTTCTATCTTCAATGTCCTTTGGAAGATTGTGATAAATTAACTGAAAAATAGACAAACTGTTAAAATATTAATCAGAGCATACTTAGTAGAAAATTGAGAAGTTCTGTGCAAACCTGCTGACCATTATCACCTTCCCTATGAATAAGGATCTTCCCGATCTTGATGCCTTTACAACATGCCCGCAGAGCATTTTCCATACTTTCACCGCTGGTGTACATTACCAGTCAATATTCACATTTCAGTTCCAACAACAAGTAGATGATGAGTACTTTAAAATGCTATTGAAAGATAGAGATAGGCACCAAACCAAAGGGAAATTAGTTGGGGAAACAAATCAATAGCCAAAAGATAGGTTTCTAGAAAAGAAGTGCTAATATGCGTTTCCATTCATAAATAGTAAGATGATGCTTGCCAAAATAGGTGAAGAGTGGTGTAAGAACCATCAACAGCAGTCTCCCTCGTGATCACAGGAACAAGCAAAATGAATCAGGATGAGAGATATAAAGCTACGATCTTACATATAAGAAAGAGTATTGATGATTTTTTTTCCTTTCAAGCCAAATAGAAATTCAATAGCTTTGTAAGTTTTAACATCTTTGCCATTCTATGTATTGACTAATCAGAAAGTTCATTTGTTAAGTGACTGGAAATAATCATATCTACAGTGATCCATTGATTCAATTAAAGAAGTGAGAAGTTATGAAGAACGTCTTTAAAACCAACATTGTTAATAGCGCAAGCGAAGCAATACCTTAATGTTACTAATAAAATAAAGAAGCAATACCTTCTGATAATGGAAATGCCACATAACCTTTTACAAAATTCTACTCCAGTATAAACAGATCCTGAGAAAAGTAAAGCATCACCAAGTTCATTACTCACCTTATAACATGAGATGTTATGAAGAAATTACCCATCCGTATGGTATAAAAATACAAGTCACATCTATTCAAAGGAGAACTCTCTTAGGCATCAGTTCCCCATCAGCATTTTCATGAAAAGCAAATAACTAAAACTGCAAGAGGTAATTTACTTAGTTCAGAATTGTCCCAAGAAAGAAATTGAAACAAAAAACATCCAGAAAAGCACGGAGATATTATAATATTATTATATTATTATATTATTTATTTCTGCCTAGAAAATAAAAGAGATTTATCAACAAGCCATAAAAGTCAAATGTTATAAATGATACATTCAGAAGATACCATAGTGATGGTAAACCCAAACAGTACATGGAAGCTTGAAGTGGGGATAGCTGATGATCAGTACAACCAATATATGTAGTGCGTCAAACTTGATCAGAAATGTACCAAATAAAAAGTCAAAAACATGCAAAGATAATCATTATGAAAAACTTCAAGAGAGTCAGAACTATCAGAATAAATGCACACAAAAAAAAAAAGAATCTAGATTTCATCTGGGATAAGTAGATTTGTAGGAACCAAGATCAACACATGGTCAGATTCACAGTACACATTCAATAATTTCAGGTGTTCTGTCAGCCTATTGTCACAAGTTTCTCAATTTCTTACATATCTAAAGGAAAAACAGATAAACCTTGAAAAAAAAAAACTCATTTGCACATATTTCAATTGAACTTTCAAACAATGAACCGAGGGAATGGAAACTAGTACAAAATTCTAGACAAGATTTATTTTATAAACATGAAGTGGACATTGCTGAAGATATCTTTTATGGAAAGCTAGATATTTGTGATGTAAAAGGGGCATTAGGAGTACTGTGTGATTGCTATGTGTCCCTTGAATTAAAATGCAAATATTATATTGACAAGGGCATTAGGTGTATTGTGTCACTCACAGATTAGATTACTGGATGTGAAAATATATACAGAAAACTTAATACCTCTGAGATAAAGGTGATGACATGGATGAAGTTACTATCAAGTTGCATTAAGAAGTATTTAAAATGATAAACAATTACAGATAGTTCTCATCAAGGATGAAATAAGGAAAAACCAGTTGAGGAGATATGGACATGTTGAAAAATAAACTATGCACCAGCTTAATGAATAAATCAGGATTATTGCCCGAGGAGAGATATCGGATGACCTAATAAAACTCTATCTGAAATAATGAGAAGAAACTGAGGGCTATTAATTTGAATGGTTACATCGCCCTTAATGGTGTGAAACAATCCATGTAACTGGCCCTGAATAGTTGGGACTTCATGGCTTGTAGTTATATTTTTATAGTCTGTCCAACCATATATTACCTAGAAATATAATACTAGACAACACAACCTTTGTGCAAAACTAAGTCTATACAAAATATTTTGTTCAATGAGAAGTTGAAGTTTGAAGTGAACAGTTCAGAGTCTTCAGACAAATCTAAACTATGGTATTATGACACAGAATTTGGTAAAAACTAGGTGCAAGATTGAAGAACGTGTTTTAGCCACATATTATCTATTTTTTAATGAAAATTTGGGTAGTTTCAGGTGAAACAGCCTCACACCTTGTATTGCATGAAAGATTCTGGGGCTTAGTTACCCAATTGGAACTTTTCTTAGCCAATCACATGCATGAGTCCAGTGCAAGGCTCATGCATGTGAGGTATAGTATCATGCCTCTTGATATTTATAGAGTTAAAAATATTCCTGATAAGAATGCTATTTTTTATTTGTCTACTTTTTGTTTGTTCTAAAAAAATAAAACATATAAGTACATAGATATATTTTGTTAACTATTCAATCAAACTATGTTATCCGAGTTGTTCTAATTTAAGTTGGATAAACAGTTACATAGTTTAGTTGCTTGAATTTGTACCAACCCCAGATTGAACTTTTGTCATCAAATTCATTGTGTAAGAAATACTTTTCTAGATAGTATAATTAATCTTAATTGTAAGTGATTGGTCCATTAAGACTCAAATCTTAATAAAGTTGGCTTTTAAGAAAAAGCATCCTTGTACTGAGATTTTACATACCATTCAAACCAATATATACAACCATCAGTCCGACTAAGTACCAATATTGCAACATATAACTCAATCAGTGATTTAAAAAGGCGCTCGGGCGAGGCGAGGCGAGGCCCAAGCGCCTCGCTTCATTTCCAAGCGGCACGCTTCAAAGAGGCGCGCCGCCTAGGCGCTCGCCCGAGCCCAGGCGCCGGGCGTTTCGGGCGAGCACCTGGGTTAAACCAGACGACCGAACCAGCGTTTGAGGTCTGGTTCGGTCTCCGGTGCTTTAGTTGGTTCAATCGAACCAACTAAAGCATCGATATCAGCGTGACTTCCCCAACCCTAACCCTGCTCGTCGTTCACGCTACTGCTGCCGCTGCTGCTGTCGATGCTCGCTGCTACCGTTGCCGCTCACCGCTCCCGCTCCCGCTGCTATTATTGTCACTGTCTCCGCTAGCTGCTTTCGCTCCCGCTCGCTGCTACCATTGCCACTGTCTCCGCTCGCCGCTCCCGCTCCCGCTGCTCGCTGCTGCCGGTGCCACTGTTGCCGCTTGTCACTCCCGCTGTCGCTGCTGCTGCTCGCTGCTGTCACTGTCGCTGCCACTGTCGTTGCTCGCAGCTGTCGCTCCCGCTCTTCTTAGTCAACACCCTCGGTCTTCCGACTCTTTCCTTACACTCTTCGATAGTATACTGTTAACAATATACAATATACAGTTAACAGTATACTGTTAACTGTATACTAGTAATAGTATTTGTATTTATTAGACTAATTTAATAGCATATTTTTATTTAAAAAATTAAATAATTATATTATATATTTTTATATTTTAGCGTCTCACTTTGCTCGGGCGAGTGCCTAGCGCCTCGGGCGTTTTTGGACCTTGGCGCCTTTTGGCGCTTAGAGCTTTTTAAATCACTGAACTCAATAATGGTATGATGTCATTTCATTTAAATTTTATTATTTTATTGAATGGTACTGGATGGTATGTCTCAATATACCACTCTATGAACATGCATCATGCTGATTCGATAGATTATTGAAACCAGTATTAGCAGATATTAAATCTTTGGTTGTGTAACAAGCCTAATTGAATATGAGAGAACCCATGTGATGATGCACTGGGAGAATATATAAACAATTAGATAAATGAAGTGTTAAATTTTGAGCATTCATGTTCTGACACTTGAGTAAGATAAATATACATACATCAAATCTCCATGCCATAAAGTGAAATTATGCCTAAAATATAGATAACTTTAAATAAGTTTGTGATTTGGTTTAGGTCAACTAAATCACAAATATATGTATCTTTTATGGAGTGTAATGCCAAATGTTCATCAAAGAAACAAATACCAGTTGGACTAGCATGCAGCAACCGGTATTTAGTAGTCCATCGAGGACCAGCGCCAACCACATAGGTCAACACTGACCGAGATTTGTTTTCCAATGATACCGGATAGTATGGAGATGATATATACAAAATACCAGTACAATCAGTTACCAAAACTAGTATTGCACCAAGATCTAAACCCTTGATGTCCAGCATTCCTTAATTTTGACCAAAAATTGCAAGTCAACTTTCTCAATCCTGTTAGTATAAGTAATTGAAGAAATCAATATTTTATTATTTTTTAAAATCAATATTTTACTTAATGGATTTGTTGTATAACTACATTTTGTATTCACATTCTACTAAGGTAAAACATCAATTGTCTATATAATTTTTGTTATGTTTTCATTCACTTCCTTTCTTTACTTTCTCTATTCCGGCATCACAACAACGGTGTCAACCAGCTCAATGTGATGGCAAATGAGGATTGGTAGTGCCACCAGAAGAAAGATTTCTTGGTTAAAAACATAATAATCTATATATTTTTAAAAAAATTAAATAGCACTGCAGACTCTTTGGAAGATCACATCCTGAGACTTATAAAGCCTCTTTGTGATAAAGGGCATGAGACCTCAAACTTGTATTCCTAGAGAAAAATAAGAGATTATTCTGACCATTATTGTTCATTTCTTACTCTCTTTCTCTCTCCCCATATAAAATTCTTTTTTTCTTTTTTTGCAAAGGGTAAAGACTGAAGATGAGATTTGATCCAGTACCTTCCTATCAACAGTCAAGATCTTTAGCAGTTGAACTAGTTAATATTTTCAAAATTTGCCAGATAAGGTTACGGAATCCTATCCCTTGGTAAGTTGACATGTACACCACAATCATCAAACCAATATTTTAGATATCATAAATTCATAGTTACTAGGATGATAATTATGGTATAATATACTACATATTATGCTACATAAGATTTCACATTGACGTTTTCATAGGTATCATAGAAGTAGTTTCTTGAAAACAACAACATCAAGGTATATTTTGTAAGCTCTATCAAATAATACTCATTTGATTATGTTCTAGTAGGCCTTGAATAAAATGATCAAATGATCTAGTAAACAAGCCAACTATCAAAATGTCAGTAAATCTAGGATACAATAGATGACTGCAGAGAATAAGAGAACTCTCAATATGGCATGCTCAGTTAGACCAATTTTCCAGTAGTCTTATATTCTAAAATTGCAGAAAGATGATCCACATAGTTTGAATTGGATTCATGATTACATATGTACAAAATAGTATAGCACAATATTCCACATAGCATTTCAAGAAGATTAAGATTCTAAATTAGCACCAATCACAGGACAAGGGAAGAAAACTATTACCTGTTGGTGTGATCACCTGCTTTTCCTTAAATGGAAGATGACCTAGACCATGTTCAACAACCTATCACAAGAATATGTATTCAAAATAAGATATCATCAAAAAATAATCTCTACAACCAGACAAAAATCTTACTGACCAAACGAATCAACCGATCAGAATAAAATATGAAATCATGTGTAGTTGTTTTGGCATCACGTATGAGCGTATGCATGCCACGAATCTGCAAAAGATTTGCAGGATAGCTGTTCATAAGTAGCTATAAATATCTAAAACTGGAAAGTTAAAAGCTGACTAGTCCAGTTTCAACTTAATGACAAAATTCTCAAGAAAAATAATAATATTGTTGCAAACATATCTGATTACCTGGAATGTCGACTGGATGACAGAAAGGTTTGGATATATTTTACAGAGATTATGCTGACCAAGTTTTGTACGGATATGTTCCACAATTAAGTCAATTGCCACATGATTATCTCCACCACGGGGAATGATGATATCAGCATACTTCTTTGTTGGGAGTATGAAGTCATCAAAAGCAGGTTTTACAAATTTTGAGTACTGCATTGGTCAATTTATCAACAACAATTATTACATTACCAACAAAAGCAAGAAAAAAGTACTGATACCAAGTTTAATATGTGCAAGAACATGCGGCTCAAGAATTAATAGTTTAATCATAAATGACACTTTCTATCGAATTCAGTGGTAGGAAAAGTTACACATGACCCTTCTCTTGAAGAGGCAATCCTACATGGCTACACCAACAATCTTTTCCTAAACCAATCACCATGATTACCATCCAGGCCATACCCAAACCTTTACCTTCTTACTTTATTAGCACACTAAACTGTAGGAAGCCATACAATAATTTGATGGTTGGGACATTACAGCTTGCATCATTGTTGTTGTTGTCATTGTTGTTGTGATTGCAATATAGTCCTTCACAATGATATTGTGTCATGTTAAGGATTTAAATCCTGGTATGAAACCAATTTTGATAATTTACCTGACTATTATGGTACCAGCATATACTGAGTGAGTGAGCAGTACATCAACTTAGACTGTGTGGTGTCATCCATTGAAATAATAAAAAAAGAACACGACTGGTATTGGACCACATCACTCCTTTCACAATACTTTTGTGTCATCAATCTTAAGAAATTAAATCTTGGTCTAATACTGATTTTGAAAATCTACTAGACGTCAGTACCACCGCTATCAATAGAAGAAAATACTGAAAAAAACATTGACCTATACTGGACCATATGATTTGACACCAGTCCTTGGTCAGATTGGTAAATATGGTATACATCATGCTGATCGGTATGCCTCATAGTACCATTAATATACTGTAGCCTTCTCATATATATTTGCATATCTGTTTCTACTTTGTCAATAGTATCTAAGAGGCTAATAGTGTATACACTAGGCTCTTATTAGCAATATGAGATCACAAGCTTTCGAGTGCTGCAGTCTTCAAAATCGACCAATCATGATTCATCAACAAATTTGAATCAGGATAAACTCCTCAACAACAATTCTGATTTCTCAGATGAAATCAAATCAGTTTGAAATCATCCAGAATCTACTGGAACTTATTGGGATAATTCCATTTTGGAAACACAATCTTAATTTCTGGTATGTCAGGATCATAGCCATTGTCAGATTTGGAATGGATCAGAAAAAAATGAAATAAGATAACAGTGGGAGGAAGAAAGGAGAAAAGAGAGAATATTGAAGAAGAGAGGCGGGGACAATAGAGGCGGAGTACCAAAAAAGAATGATGGGGAGGAATAAAGAAGGGATCAAGCCGGTTTGCCTCTTGTTCTACTGGTCCAAGGTTGTCCTTGGCAAGATTAACAATTTCATACCATACCGGAGTATCGAGCTCAATTCAGTACGATACGATACGAGTATACCGAGTGGTACACTCTAGCGTACCGCTCGGTGTATATAAATAAATATACATATATATATAAAGTTAAAAAAAAAAAAGGGCAACGTCATCGAGGTGACGTCGCCTCGTTTCTTCTCCCCGCGTGGGGAGAAGAAACCTCGTTTTCTTCTCTTCGCAAAGCCTCGACAACGTCGCCGAGGCTTCTTCTCCCCGCGCGGAGGAGAAGTCGCCAACAAGGTCAAGGCCTCGATGCCTCAGACGAGAAGGCAACATCTCATATGCGGCTTCCGACGAGGGAGGGCAACAATGGATCTGGATCGTCAAGGGAGAGCAACATCGCATGGAGATGTAGGGAAAAGGAGTCGCTCGGAGGAGCAGGCATCTGAGATTGGCATTCAGAGGAATGGCCAACCCTTCGCGCAAGAGGCACCACGAGAACAAGCAAGCTTGGAAGAATACGTAGCGCACAAAGGTTGGGATGGCTGAGTTCGAGCTACAGCTCGACGTTGACAACTATACTTGATGGTGCTCAAGGTACACGAGGCGCTTGGTAAAGGATAAGACCATGCAAGGTGGAATGGGTTGCACAGCGACCGAAAGAGTTATGCAAAGCTCACAGAGATGAGGGGAAGTGCTAACTCGAAGAATTCGGTACTCATGCAAAGGCTTGTATGCGGACGATGGAATGTTCGCGGCCATCCCAAGCCGACCGAAACTCGACGCCATGGAGCATTGAAACTTTCTCTTCGGCATGAGAAGGATACCTTCGTAGGAGGCTGAAGTGTGCAGCGAGTTTAGCATGTTGCTAGACCTTCAGTGGTGCAGCGGGGCCTGTATTGACGTGGAGTCGCAATCTAGCAAGTGCATTTGCAGGAGGCAGAACAATGCACAGTTTGTTCAGCAAGTCGGAGTAGTCCAAGGGGATGGTGGTCTCCGAAGTTTTCAGAGGGAAGGAAACGAAGAGAGATGTTGCTCCAACGGGATAGATACCTAGGAGGGATAAATCCCAGCTCTCTAGAGGGAGAATCACGTGCAACGGACCGCACATATTGAGGAGTACTTCAAAAACAACAACTCCACGAAGCTCAATGGACCGAGTGAGCGACGAGGAGTCGTCGCATGATCTCGCTTAAGAGAATGCATTGGTGGATGCATTGCGAGATCAAGTGGGGGAGCGACCCAAAGCAACACAAATGAAAGCACACTTGGAGTCGATATGGAGATCAGACTCAAGGGAGAGCTGACCCGTGGAATGGTAGGCGCGAGGGCCACCATCAACTCAATGCAAAACGAGGAGCGGAGCAACTTGGGTATAACTTGGCGAAGTACCCAAGCCGCATGAAGGGAGCCGACATAGAAGATGGAACATGGAGCGGAGGCACAGAGCTTCCCTTGGACAGAGGTCAAGGACATGAACTCTTGCAGAGGCAAGAGCAGGATCATGTTGTTCCATGAGTCCCTCATTCTGATAGAGCGGGCTCATCCTGCATGGTGCCAAAGACGAAGGGAGCTTCGAGGCACATACACCTTACCTCAGAGAAGCATTTGATGGAAGAACTAAGGCGACTCAACTTGCAGAGGCGTAGTTGGGTTCAGAAAGCCTTGGCATGGGCAAGAGAACGCGGAGGCGAGTACTCATGAAGAATATGTCACAGTATTGTCATTCAAGTTGCCATGAAGGAAGCGGTGCGCAGCGGAGATTGTGCTGGTAGGGGAGCAGAGGCCTAGGATCCAAACAATAGTGCACCAATTTCAGCGAAGTCGGTGGACTTCGGGAGCTACTAAGCGACGGACTGTCCTAGAGCGGTGCTTCATTTAGGTATGACCCAAGAGCGGGTGGATGAAGGTCGATTGTCAAATGAGCGAACACAATCAAAGGTGGAAGAGGCCCTATGATATGTTGGCAGAGGCCACACATGGAGGGATCGCAATCCGAGTTCATCCCACAATGATCAGAATGGAATGGAGATGTCACCGAGAGGCAACATGGTGCAGCGGATCGTGGTGGAATAGTTCGTGGTAATGCGATACACAGATTGTAGTCTCGTGAGGGATTATCTCATACAAAGGTATGATCGGGAGCTATTGGGAGCTCCACTTCGGTGAACAACACGACGGCAAGAAGGGCTATGGATTCAAGGAGTGAAGGTCATGGTACCGCAAAGGCGGGTCTTCCGTGCGTACATCGAGTTTTGCATCGGATGAAAGCCTTGGTTATCAGCATATGGGGGCTGTGTTCCACCGAGGAAAAAGTTCGAATGCAAGTACTAGTGAGTCCCATGGGAGGGACTTGATCATGCAAAGGTATAATCGAAGCAGCTGGAGAGTTGGACTACTCCAGAGCCCATATTCGCTTAAGGGAGCCCGACAAGTCAGAGGACAATGTCGAGGAAGCGAACATTACTACCAAGGAAGCTAAGGAGAACAGAATCGATGTGAACCCTGCAACATGATGGTAAAGACCATGTATGGGAGTTGCAGTCTGTCTTTCCATCGACCAAGGGAAACTGCTTGGAGAACACAGAGGTGTTAAAGCAGGGGATCGGAAGGGACAAAGAAGCGATGACGAGTCCAGAGGGACTTAGCTACCCAAAACCAAGCATCGGTTATAATAGAGGTGGACTCGGAGAAGTGTCACAGTGCCACAGATGCAGATCTACCGATCGTGAAGAAAGGGATGCAGATGTGAGGCGACGGATAGTAGGGCCATTGGCATGACAACGCCATGGTACCACAGAGGCGGGACTTCCGTGAAGTCATCGATCCCTTGCTCTCATGGAGGGAGAGTGTTTGATCATGAAAGGGGTCGAGAAGGTGGAGCATGCGGAGGCAAACTCCAAATATCAAGACAAGGCTGAAGGGCAGAGACCAAGGAACTTCGTAAGACCGGTGTCAATGAGCTTCTCATCAAAATAGCCGAAAATGAAGGACTTCGGGTCGTGCAAGAGTGCACGACCAAGGAACGAAGCAGGTAGTACGCGATGCTATACCTTTGCTACTCAGTAGAGTAGGCGACAAGGTTGATGAAGAAGAAGGTACAATCCCAGAGGCGATCAAAACTATTAGAGGCTTACTCCAAGTTGGGGTGAAAACTTCCTGCATTCCAGAAATTCGATGGCATTGAGAAGGTGAATCACAGTAGCTAACTCAACGTAAGAAGTGCAAACACTTCAAGTACTTCAGAAGTATGAGCAAAGAGTAGGCGAAGGCCAATAACCAGCTCGATGCATGGAGTACAACCCTCGAGGAGGCGGACGAAGTCAAGTAACCTTTGTCTTCTCAACTCTTAAGAGAATGGGTGAAACCAAGTACCTCAATTCTCTTATCTATCCAACAGAGGAGCTCTGTACAAGTTCAAAGACCCTTCGAAGATAATGGAAGACAATAGTTGTCAAATCCTCACCAATGGTGATCAGTGCTACTAAAAGTAGATTATTCGCTTCATTTCCCAACAGAATGCCAATCGAAAGCGAAAGTGATGCGAATCTACTTGGAAGTGACAACTAAGTGAAAGAAGAGTCGATGGACAACTTTTGTGGATGAAGGACCCAAAACTTCAAAAGTTTGCGAGGCGATGCTCGTTAAAGCTCCAACAAGCATCCACCCAGTTCAAGCAGCATGAGACATTTGGGAGACTAGCGCATAGTAAGGATGATCTTTCCTTCATCTGAAGGATCCACAGGAACCAATAGGGATCAACACAACTCAGCCAACCCCATACTAGAGTCATAGTCATTGGCAAGTTGAAGCAGCATAACGGATCAAAAGTTTGACTACTCAACAACAACAGCAAAGAGCAGCTAGGAGCCAAGAGGCGCATTGCAGTTGGAGCAGAAGATTGAAGACTCAGCAAAAGCGAGGAGTTGCAGTGTCGGCAAAGGCTTCGACGAGGACGTCGAAGGAATAAGTGGGGGAGAATGTCACGAACAAAATTCTAAACAGGATATTTGATGTAATGCTTATGTATGTCTGTGTCTTTTAGTTTGTTCATGTTTTGCACAGTATTTAGAGGGACAGTCAAAGGCTTAACAGCCCCATTTTAGTTGGGTTTGGTGGCCTTTTTAGGCTTGTAAATAAAGATTGTGTTATGTGGACACTTGTGAGAGATATTCGGTCTGTAGTGGACCATTTTAACCCTTTGTTATACAACCGTTCAGAGCTTGTAAAGTCTTATTATAATTTGTATTGGCTATGAAGTATTTTCTGAAATGATTACATGTGGATCCCGAGTGAGGCGCTTTCTCTAACTCGTTTTCTCTTTTTGTAAGTCCTAAGGGACCATAGGAGGTTTCGAGGAGGCTGATATTTACGGACGGACACGCAAGGGTGCCATACGACTTAGGCAAAACCAGCTAAGTCCGTGATAAGGCGGTCCGCGTATCGATCTGCTGGCAGACTGATACGTACTGCCCTGTACGGGCGATATCATTCAAAATTAAAAACCTTAGTCCTTGGTTCCTCGCCTTAGTTCGATCTTACATAGGAAACATTTTTGGTAAAGCTACATCCTACCAATTTTGATGTTTATTTTTAAAAGATATAAATTAGAAGTTATATATATTTATGTATCAACTTGTTTTAAGTTATAGTTTATATAATTTTATTGGCATAATTATATATTATATTCAAATTTTCCCTTTTTTAAAAAAATGGAGAATCCAATGCAATTTATCTATTTTTCTCCTATTTCATTTCTGTGATTTTTCAATTATATATTATTTTCTCAACTGTTTCAATCGAGTTGATCTTGATTGAATTATTGATGACAATTGCAAGTGCAATTACTTCTACTTTTAGTATATTTATCAAGAAGTTTGATAATTTAAGAATAAGTATATATACATAAATTTTCTAACACACATTATTACACTATGAAAATATCACAGTTTTATATAATTGTAACAATACAATATTCTTCAGTTGGCTTTATTTTAAAGTTCACAAGTGAGGAAAAGAAACTAATATTATGAACTTTAGGCAGCAAGGAGTTTGGACAAGAAAATTGAAAAAGAAATTGAAATGCAAGGAGCTTGGACAAGAATTTACACAAATGAAAAGTTCATGGACACTTGTAAGGTTATAACAAGCTACTCATTCTTAACTCATTCTTCAGAGAAAAACTCATAATCAGGTAGTTTTCAAGGTCTTTGCTTTACAAATTAATTATTCATAGAACTAAATATCTTGATAGGTGGGAAGAACCAGAATACCAGTCCTAAACCTATCAAACTTGATTAATCTACTAAACTACATCTAGTATAATAAATTGTCAACAATAAAAATTTTTCACCCTGTGACAATTTCTGACCTGGTCAAGTACTGTCTTGAGATCTCTTCCCTTCTCTTCAGTATCACGTCTTATCCTCCTTGCCAATCGGACATCAGCATCTGCATGAAAGATCTTGTGCATGACTAAGAAATAATATGATCATAAAGAAGAATATAAAATAAATGAATATATATATATACACTCCTTTTTTATAAGCCACTTTAGGCACATAAATCTTGTAAAGGAAGAGACAACATACATACATATATATATATATATATATAAATATATATATATGTATATATATATATATGTATATATGTATATATATATATGTATATATGTATAC